GACACCTTCACTTGCACTTACTTTGCAGACACTTGTACATTCAAAATATTCCTCAAGATTTAAAAAAAAAAATCCACACATGCAAACTAAGCTAATACAGCTCTCCTCTTTTATAGACAATTACAGCTATCTTAAATTCTCGCCATCTTGAAACTGTTCACAGGAGATAGAATACCTGTTTTTCCACAGGATGTGATTCATTCCAGGCCTCTGGAGGAAACTAGCTTATGTCTTTTTATATGGCAGTACATCTGATAATATAACTTTGCATGATGTGAAGCAATCAGCAAATATAACCCTCTGTGATGGGATTCATGAGGCAGGTACTTTCAGCCCAGCAACAGGAGGAAATAGCTCAGATTACTTAAGTCATTATTCAAAATATATGTCATCAAAGATTGCAAAAGATTATATTGTTTTGGGGTTTTTTTTGCGTAGCAGGTGCGTAGATAGCAATCTGAAGCTCAGGACTTTAGCCAAAATTTATATGCCAAGTAAGATTACTCCATTCAGGGTTTTGCCCAGAGCACTGCAGTTAATGTTATATTTCCAAAGCCTGCATTTGTCAGACAGGTAAGTAAATGTTTTCATTTGCTTTTTTTCTGCTGGTAATACACTTGGGCCATATCTCCACGAGAAAGTTATACCACTTAAACCATACCAGTATAGCTATTCCTGTACAGGAATAAACATCTTTATATTGGTATGACTGCGTACATAGTAGGTGATACATCTATTTTGGTCAAAAATCAGACCCCCTAGCTGAAATAGTTATACTGGTTTAAAAGAAGTGTGCAGAGCAGGGCTTGGAATAAGAACAAAAACCTTGTGGCCTAATTTTGGCCATTGTGGGGGGAAAAGTCATGTAACCATTTCAAGAATGAGTGCACATACAGCTTGCAAAAGCAGAGTCGGCAGAAGTGGCTAAGTAGGGAGAGGTGGAAACCAGCCAAAATATTCAAGTGGCAGAGCTGTACAGTGCCCCCTGGAAGCTGGCACCCACAGCGACTGCCCTGCTTGCCCTTAGATCCGGACCCTGAGTGTCATTTTTATATGTCATTGTATGTGTATACTGTCTTTAGGTAACCCAATCCACAAAGTTATATGTACCATTAAGGATCTGCACAAGCAGGGCCGCCGAGAGCGGGTTCGGGCCCCGGTGAAATTTTTTTTTCAGGCCCCCCAGCAAGGGCGGACCGGCTAAACAGGGCCGACGAGAGGGGGGGAAGCCGGGCCCTGGGCCCCCTTCCGGACGGCCAGGCCCCAGTAATTTGTACCAGCTTCCCCCCCCTCTCGTCGACCCTGTGCACAAGGGTTGGTATATGAAGGCCATTACTAGTTCCTAGGGTGTACACACCTAGAAACATGGCCTATGCCTTCTGCCTATTCAGTCTCAGCTTAGAATACCCTTGGTATGTCATCTGTCTATAGTTTTTCTAAAGTGCCTATGCAGGTAGCATTTTAGCAATAAATACACTCAGGATCTACGGTGGTACTAATGAACATACAGTATGCATTTCATGGGTGCTTTAGTCTGCCCCTGCTCCCACTCAAACTGACAAAACTCCCATTGACGTAACTGAAAGCAGGATCCAGGTCCTTCATGCCCAATAAATCTAGGCACCTCTCAATTCATTGTTGCCATTGGCTCGCACTAAATTTAGCAGTGAGTTTCAGCATGGAGAACTGCAAAATGCTGGGGTGGTCTTTCAGCCTAAGTCAGCATGGAACAGCAAAAAAAAAAGCACAACCGTGAAAGAAAGAAAGTGGATGGATTGAGTCTGTTTCACACAGTGACTGTGAAAATGTGGATGGTGGTGCTTTGAGGTTAATGGGGGTGACATTCATGTATCATTGGCCAAATAGATCCTACAATGTCAATGAATTAGGGGACAGAAGGAGAGTTTATTTCTATTCGTTCTCAGTTGTGCTATAATGATAAATTGGTAGATTTCCCCCCCCCCTCCAAACCCGGTTCTTTCATTGTCAGGAACAACTCAGTCTTGTAATCTGCCCACTCAGAATCTAGATTATTGCTCTGTCAAAGGGTGCACCATTTCTGTTGTCCCTTAATTAAAATCTGTTGTTAAGGTAGGATCATATAGAGTCACAGAAAAAAGTGAGTAAAATAAAAATTTAAGGTCAACACTCCACCTTTAGAAGGGGTGAGGGAACTAAACAGCTTGATTTTAAATAAATACTCTACTGAAAAATCATGTAAAAATGTGTTAATTTATTTAGATTACTAGTTGCACCCTACTTGATGAATGATTATGGAATTTACTTGTTGCTATGTATCCTGGGTGTTTACTTTTGTATTTTTCAAGTCAGTTTCAACTTAGAGCTGCAAGGCTGGTTTTCAAAATCGGAATGGGGTAGTTTATTTTTTTTTAAATAAAACTGTTGTCACTGGAATTTTTTAAATTGTAGGAAATTTCCTTTACTTTTGCACTTGCTAAAAGCTTGCTTTTTCAGAATTTATACATAGGGATACATGTTGCCTGTCCTTTTCAAGAATGGCTTCTTCAGCTTTTTGCAGTATAGGGTCTCCATTTACTGCTGTTTAAACAGTTCTTTTGTATAGTATTTGATAAAGATTATTTAATTTTTAGATGCATATGGTTATTCTTTTAGATGTTTAATATTTTGTCACTGTACTGGAGGTCTTCTGCCAGCAATATACGTCTTATTTTCAACTTTATCATTATTTTAGTGTTATCTAGGGGCTAGAATGGGGGGACTGGCAGTTAGGCGTTCCAGTCACTCTGTGAATTTAAGCAAATCACATAACTTTTCAGTACCTCAGTTTAACCTGTAAAATGGGGTAATACAAGTAATAAATGTTGAGGCTTAATTAATGCTAATGAAGTGATTTGTGATTCCTCAATGAAGCACCACCATTAACACCATCACTGACTTAAAAAACAAACATACCCTTCTCTTACTGTTATAGGTGTCCTCCTACCATACTCACCTGCCACTCAATGTGTTTGGACTTCTCTCATTCCCTGCTGTCTAGTCAAAGTTCCTCCCCGCTAACAGTGGTAAATCGGGTAGTCTGTGTCAAGCTTTGGCTCATAGCTAATTACCAAACCTGAGTTCTAAACTCCAATCCCCAGGGAATGCAAAAAGTGTGATGGGTTGCTAGGGTTGTGCCTGAGTGCACAGAAATCTGATTGTGACTTTCTAGCAGTCACATGACTTTGTTTTCTTTTAATCATGTATATCAAGTCCTTCATTTAGGATGGGCAGGGCCAGATAGTCTATGAGGGGGGAGTTAGTTAACGTCTTCAACATGTTATTACTTCTGTCTCTTCTAAACATTCAGCAATTTCATTTAGGGTTAACTGATTGCTCTTATTTCTTTTATTCGTACCCCAAAATGTATTTTACTACTTTCAAATGTTTCTCAATAGGAGGCCCATGATGGTCACAGTAGCAGACTTTGTATGGTTGTAACTAGATCCCTATGTACATTACAAAACTCTGTTTTCCCTAACATAGTTACTTATGTGATTTCAGTTTATAGTAGAGCATGGCCCTTAGCCAGGTTCTATAGTCAAGCAAAAGCTTTGATCAGTCCTGGACTTCATTAATAATCTAACCAACCCCCTCCCCGATGTCCTGGTCTTGGTCCTTCCTATCTTTGAACATGTGGTGTGTAATATGGCTGAAGTGTTATCTATCCAGGGTTTTTAGACTATAATTTCCTACAGGCAGGGATTGTATCTTCTTTGGTATTTGTACTGTGCTTTGCCTGGCAAGTTACAAAGAGCTTTTCTTCAGCTGATCTGAAAAAAAAGCTCTGTGTAGCTTGGAAGCTTGTCTCCTTTCACCAACAGAAATGGGTCCAATAAAAGGTATTCCCTCACACACCTTGTGGTTAAATAACATTCATTTGGACACCACCTTATTATTAAATTCATTTTCTAGGTTTCATGGTTCAGACCCAGAAATTGGATGAGGCCCAATTAATATCCCCTTACTTCCTCCACACCCTCTGCCCCCATTTCACCCCCCCCCTTTGGATGTTTGCTCTAATGGAATAGTTCTTGGCTTTTGTGGGGGATACTGATGCTGTTCCCTTGCAATAGAGGGCATGCTTGGGCATAGCTTAGCGTGCCCACCAAGTCACAGGCTTCCACAAGGCCTGGTTAAAGATAGAGCTTTTCTTAGGTGAGGACATGCAGCTCTAGTAGAGGCTAGGAGCAGACTTCTCCCATGCTGCCCTCTAAGCCTTGTTGTAAAGTGCAGAGGGGAGTTCGTATGGGAGAGGTAGCCGTGTTAGTCTGTATCCACAAAAACAACCAGGTGTCCGGTGGCGCCTTAAAGACTTGCATTTATTTAGGCATAAGCTTTCGTGGGTAAAAAACCCACTTCTTCATATGCAAGAGGGGAGTTTGGGTTCCAGGCCGGGTCAGACCTGGGCTAAGTAGGGTGACCAGATGTCCCGATTTTATAGGGAGTCTTGATGTTTGGGTCTTTTTCTTATATAGGCTTCTATTACCCGCCCCCCCTCCCGTCCTGATTTTTCACATTTGCTGTCTGGTCACCCTAGGGAACCGTTAGTGCCAAGTGCGGCCATTCTAATAATGCAGAAAGTGGCCTGAGACACGACAAACTCATCTCAGGTGGGCCAGTGGCTGGGTTCATCTTTGTCAAGGGCTGGGAGCTGGTCCCACCTTTCTGCTGATGCCTTCCCTGTCTCCAGCCCCCTGTCCCCCCCCCTCCCCCCCCCCTCCCATTTCCACTCTGCCCCCTTCCCAACCCCTCCCCTCTCTGCTCCCCTCGTCTCCCCCCCCATTTCCACTCTTCCTCCCTCCCCAACCCCTCCCCTCTCTGCTCCCCTCGTTCCCCCACCCCTCGGGCGGATCCGGATCCGGATCCGGCCTGCCACGTCCCAAGCGCCACGGCACCGCTGCGGGCGGGGCCGGCCGGCGGGGCGGAGCGCGGCGCGGGCCGGGCCCAATGGCGGGGAGCGCGGGGAGCCTGCGTCCCTGGGCCCGGGCCTGCTCCGCCCCCGGCCGCTGCCCCGCCAGGAAGAGCGGCCCCCGCCGGCCCGCAGAGCAGAGCTGGGCTGTCCCCGGGCGCAGGCACCATGTGCGGTAGGGACCCCGCGAGGGGAGCGGAAAGTGGGGGCTGTACGGGGGCAAGGGGTGTGGGATATATACGGTGTATGCGGGGGGGGGGGTAACGGGGGTGTGGAAGGGTAAGGTGCGTCTGGGGGATATACACGAGGTAAGGGGGTCTGGGAATATACAGGGGGTCTGGGGGATATACGGGGTGGGTAATGGGGGTTTGGGGATATACACGGGGTGTGGAGAGGTAAGGGAGGTCTGGGGGATATATGGGGGTGGGGGATATATGGGAGTGTGGAGGGTTAAGGGGGGTCTGGGGAATATACAGGGGTGTGGAGGGGTAAGGGGGATATACGGGTGTGTGGAGGGATATGTGGGGGGTGGGGATATACAGGGGGTGGGGGGGGGGAGGGGGGGGGGTAAGGGGTGGGATTTGGGGGATATGTTAGGGGAGCAAAGGGGTGGGTAATCTGGCGGACATGGCAGATATTTTGGGGAGCAGTGGGTGGAGGACATGGGGAGCTGGGGTGCAGGGTTTGGGGGAACTCGGACATGGGGGATATATTGGGGGTGGGGGGGAATCTAGGGCAAATTAAGGGAGAGCAAGGGTAGGGATTTAGGGGGAAATGACTAGGGGTGGGGGAGTGGGGGGTAGGGATCTGGGGAGACTAGGTGGAAATATTGGGGGAAACATAGAGAGCAGGGGATGAATGATATGGGGAAAGTACTGTGGGCAGGCCTTAGTGATAAGGAGGATGAAGGAGGATATAGAGTTTTTAAGGAGTAAATATGGGGGAGCCCAGAAATGATTAGTATAGGATGAAACTGTGCATGTTTGAGAATATGAGACTTATTAGGAAGTTGGTGGATGATGATAGTTGGGGACTCTTGGGGGCAGGGCAGATATACATGATCTTTAAATGAATATGTTTCCCTCACACAGTAACTTTTTAAAATCTGGCCCCTTAATGTTCATGTGCAAGTCTCCTGCTTCAGGGTATATGTATGTTTCCTTTATATGCTCCTTTGTGGTAAAGCATGGGGTAGTGGGAGGAGTCAGTGTTGGCAACTAGATTAGAAAGTGTGTGTTTAGCTTGTCATTCATGCATCCCAATTTCCTTGCAGCCGAGATGGGGTTCTTTGCATGGCAGTTCTTTGTGTCTGAGAGGTATAGGAAATTTCCAGTTGATCCTTGCTGGAAAGAGATGTCCTTGCAAGTCTGTTGAAGTGAAATAGAGCTAATAGGCAGATGATACAGGCAAATTTTTACACTCACAATTAAAATAATCATTCCCTAGTTGGAGTGTGTGCCGCTAATTTCAGTATAAAAATGAAGTTGATGAATTATGCATTGACTGAATGTTCCTCGCTTATTTAAAGATTGGGAGACATGTCCATTATTTTAGAGATGACCATAAATACATGTACAACAGTTTCCTCCCAGATCAGAAATTATTTTACCATCTCTGTCTTTAAATGACTTAGTTGGCATGAAATGCTATACAATGCTTTCCCGAAGTATAAAAAGGCCGAGACCGTAAGTATCTAACAGTAGTTTCGGAACACGCATGTGCACAAGAGGACTACACCCTGTGACCGTTTGTTGATTTTGTCGATATCTGACTCAGCGGCAGGTTGTACGAAGGGTGATGCTACTTTTGTCCTCTGTCTCGTCTAGGGGTGTAAGGTGGGATTTTCAAAAGCTAGAAGCACAGTGAAAGTCAGTGGAACTAAGGTTTTCAAAAGCACCTAAGGCCTGGTCTAAACACACAGTTGCACAGATTTAGCTAAAAGTGTGATTTTTAAACTGGTGCAAACCCATGGGTGGACTCTCTGGAGTAGGTTTGCCACACAGGGGTTTGCACCAGCTCAACTAAACCAGTTTTTTAACCTGTGCAGCTCTGGTGTGTAGACAAGATTTAGGATGTTTCTGCACTGCATTGTAAATCCAGGTCTGTGGGACCAGGCTTCTGGACTCGGTGCTTCCGAGTCCACACTTGAGTGTTCACACCGCATTGTAACCCTGTGTTTACAGTTGCTGGACCTGGGTCTCTCAGCCGTGCTAACGTGTCCAGCAGAGCTTCTGATTAGGGGCTGCATCTTGGGCTGCGTCCACACCGCAAAACGACAGGGCTTGAATGGCTCGGGCTCTGACCTCACCTAGCAGGATCCTAGGACCCTGGTCCTGAATGTGTCCTGACCCAAGTCAGACTCATTTGTGTGTGGACAGAACAGGGCTTGAGTCAGAGCCTGGGCTTAGAGTGCAGTACAGTACCTCCTCGAAACTCTCCTTGCCCATGCTGCCTACAAAACATCTGAGAACCGTTAGGAAGCTGGTGTGCTGATATTACTGCCCTCTAGGATGATCAGTGTTCTCATTGTTTACTTTTGTTCCCCCAGCCGTTTGTATCAATCTGTTGTCTCTTGTCTTATACTTTGATTGTAAGTTCCTTGGGGGCATGGATTGTCTTTTTGATCTATGTTCCTATAGTGCCTAGTACAATATGGTCTTGGGCTGTCTAAACCGATGGCTTCTAGGTGCTATAATTAGAGCCCTGCGCAGATACAAATTTATATCCGCGGATATAAATCAGTATCTGCGGAACTGCAGGGCTCTCCCGGGAACCGCAGCGGTGAAAGGAGCAGAACGTGGGGCCGCTGCTCCCAGGAGCCTGTGCCCCACACTGGCAGCTCCTCCAGCGCGGCTGTACCGACTCCAGACAGGAAACGCAGACAGCTGCGTGGAAGGGCTGGGGACGGGGACAGGTACAGCCTTGCCGGAGGAGCTGCTGGCGCGGGGTGCTGGCTCCATGAAGCGGCGGCCCCACATTCTTCTCCTTTCGCCGCTGCGGTTCCCGGGAGAGCCCTGCAGTTCCGCAGATACCGATTTATATCCGCGGAGGGCTCTAGCTATGGTAATACAAATAATACATAATAAGAAGTCAAGGGGGCTTGTGCTCTTAAGGCACTTAGACACTTTCCAAAATCCCATCTATAGTCAGATTTCCCTTATCGATGAGATGATATTTGGGAACATCTTTCTTGTCCTGGCCCCCATAGTTTGGACAGTGGAGTAGAAAAAAGTCCCTCTGTTCCAATTTTTCTTTTGTCACATTAGTTTCACAGTTGCGTCTCTCTGGAGATTCATGCTGTATTTTTTGCTTTCTGGTTTCCACCTTTTAGTTTTTCTACATCTTTATTTTTAAATCCTGTTATTGAACTAAATTAATTTTTATATATTTTATATCTGCTTTGCACGCCTTCACAATTTCTTCATCCTGCTTGGGAATAGAGGATTTTGAATTTTTAATCAATTGTTATCACAAAGGTTACTACATAGCTTAGAGGGAGTATAAGGGGTATGAAGGGCTGCAGTCAGTAATGTGTGTTCCATCTTACATTATGCTAATTTTGTCTCGAAGTGGAAAGTGGGACAATGCTAAGAATAGAAAATTATTACTATAAATGGTTTGCTGCAAGTATGGTGCTAGTTTTGGTGCAGTGGGAGTCTCTCCCCTGGGAAATCCAGCCTTTGAGATGTGCAGTATTCTGCTATTTATTTTTTTTAAAATTGTGGTGACCCTGAAAATTCTGTGGGTCAGTGTTTAGTGTGTGCCCTTTGGATCTGGATACCTGCACAAATATTTCCCTCCTGTTTCAGTACAAGCAAAACTGTTCCTGGATGTTGGAATGTCTTTTTCAGTAATATGAAAGGTGTCAGAGCTTTGGCTTTGCATCTTGTTCATGGTGAAGCAGAGAGACTTCCTGTCAGAAGAAATGAAAACAGAGTACAGAAGAAGCATTAATGTAGTTGTGTTTGTGTAGTTGTGTTTGGGTTATGATGTAAAGTAGAAATATAAGCATAGTAGGATCTTCTCCCTCCCTCTCTGCAAACATTGAAGCAAAGATCGGAGGCAATCTAACAAATTGGCCCTCTGTGAGAAAACTATGTTGAATTCCAAAAGAAACAGTTGTGTTGTAGATTATCATCAGAGCCAGAATTAAAGACGAGGGAGCATTTGGCTGCAGGGAATGCATAAAGGTAGAAAATTAAGGTTTTGTGTGTGGAAGGGGTGGGGTGCTAAATTACTTGAAACCTCTGTATGTTGAATTGGTGTGCTTTTGTGGACAATTCTCCTCTGTTGGATGGAATCTGAACTATTTAGTTGCATGTTCTTGGTCCTGTACTAACAACAGCCGTCAGCTTCTCCTGTAGGTCAAGTGGCAGGGGCCTTTGCTTTTGGAGCAGGAGGGCCTGAGTTCTATTCCTGCTGTCACCATGCAGTTCTGAGTAGAGCTGGTTGGAAATGTCATTGAATTGGAAATTTCTGGTGTCTGGGAAGCTCTGGGAGACCCAGCTTGAGCTGGGGCTCTCAGGACTTTTAGATTCCCAGCTCGTTAGCAAGAAACTTGAAAGCACTGGGAACCCTGGCTCTAGCCAGGGCTCTTTGTGTCTAGCATCCAGTCCTGCAGCCTGGAAATCTTTGGGGAGAGGGCTCAGAGCTTTCAAGCTTACTGACACAGTGCTGGGAACCTGAAGGTCCTGGGACAGGTTTCCAGTGTCTGTGGATCTGGTAACAGCCCTGGGCCAGGGACCCCAGGGTTTCCAGACCCTTGAGCCAGCTTTCTCCCCAGGCTACCAGCTTGCGAGTTGGCTAGCCTGAATAGCTAGCTGGCCTGGGAGACTGAGGCCTCAGGATAGTCTTTGTGGAGCTGCTGCCTCTGAGCCATAAACCCTGGGAACATGGGTAGCTCCTGAGTGAAATTGACATCCTGTGTTTCAGCCAGCTCTAGTTTGGAGTGGTCATGTTATTCAACATAGCAACATCTGTAAAGTTCTACAGGGCCACTGATTTATTGTAAAAATTATGGCTAGCTAAAAGTTCTCAATTCTTACAGGTTGTACATTTATCTACTTTAATATCTCGTCTGTGACTTCTTAAACTAGTTTAATTCACTAAATGGTTTAGAAGGCATTTTTATATTAGGACAATGTGAATAAGAACCTAAATAGAGCATAACAGTTG